CCGTCTGACCCCCGGACCCCTCAAACGGGAAAGAGTCGTCGCGAGGCACTTCGGCGGCTGGGACGGGACTGGATTAATTTCTGTTGCTGGGCTGTGGTTTCGAATTCAGTTTTTAATTTGCGTTTTGGTGCGATCGGGAGGTGTAGTTGATATTTGTACAAGGGAAAAAGGAATAGTATTTTCCTTTTTTTAATTTATAGGGTGAGGCTTTCGTGATATGGGTATCTTAGCCAAGAACTACAGATTTGCTAAGTATTCAAAAGGTGCACGTTTTAACAAGGAAGGTACTCGATTAGACAATATTCTTTTTACTTGCATTCAACCGTTTTATCGCTGAATCACCCGAGGGAAGGCCCTGTTTTGGTTTTTGTTGGCGTAACTCTCCGTTTGCTGAAACCTTTTTTAATGCACGTTCAAGTTATTCTTGCAATAGATTGATAACAATCTATGGACTGAGTCATTTTTAAACGGACGGGTAGTTCATTCACCTCTGTTTTTGGATGAGAGAGTACAGGACTCACGAACAAGTGGTTGAAGAGACTACTCGGCGACGTGTTTGGGAATGGGATGATTTGTTTACGAGTTGTGGCAAGAGGGCTTGAACCATGGACACGCATTCCACAAGTACACGACCTCGCCAGTGATTTTTGACGACGGCGAGAAGCAATGTAGAGCAAAGAATTGTACGACAAGGCAAGTCGCTTACCACACTTATTAGTGAATGCATAAAAAAATTCCCTATCAAACTACCCGATACTGTCAGAAATGTCTGCATTGCTTTAATGTAAATGTATATTAAAGTAATTATCGTGAACGCACAATAAATTTAATGTACTCATTAGGTTGTAAGGATCAAAACTTTATGGTAATATCTTGAATGAATGAAATTAATGGAGTGGGAATTATGAAGATGATGCTAGCGAAACTGAGAAACCTCTACATTAAATCTCAGTTGGTTTTAATTGAATCATTGAATTTAATGGACAAATATATTAAGATATTTTTAAAAGTACAAATCATATTACGTTTCTTGTACTAGAGTTCATTAATCTACATTACATTTAACGACATTTCTGGCAGTGTACATTGAAAGAAACATCCGTGTCTCGTTGCCATCCGTGGCGGGCGCTCGCTTCCTGCTTGGGAAGTTCGGCGCCGGGCCCAGCGCAGCCTCGCCTTGCGTTCACCCCGCGACCCGCAACCGTCGCCTACGTCGCGCCCAGTTAAGGCCTGAGCACGCGCGCCCCCGGGCTATATTTGGCGCCATCTTTGCCTGCGTGGCGATTGACGCAATCACTGCTCTATGAATGCTCGCGCTGCGGCTCTGGGACGGTGGGGAGGGGGGCGGGATGGAATTTGATTGATTTAGATGTATTAATGGGCGTGATTTCACGTGCTAACACTGACGGATTGTAGAGTACACAAGTACTCTGAACTCTCACTCGAATATTGGGCCGCTTATCTCGATTCTGACGTTTTACTTTATTTTGACAGCTTCTGTGTACGTGATCTCAGGCGCAAATATAGATTAAAGTGTACTGAACAAATATCTCTGAGCTGTGTACGCTCCTAATTTGGTAGTTTCGTGGACGTTTCAGCTCATTCTATATTTTTATCCAAACAGACTAATTAATGTGCGTGGATTTATCGTGATAATGTTTTTGAATGAAACATGATCTTCAGCGTTTTAAATGATTAGAGATATCTAGAAGGAAAAAAATAGTGTTGTGTTGGTTTACACGTTGTCAATTATCAGCCCGTGATAATGAGCGTGGAAGTTTATTTTGAAAAATCGCCTGAAAAAGATTCCTTGTTTACCTTTCGTTGGAGTTAAAGTTTTACTTGTTTTGTTGTTCGAATTAGTGAAACTTGGAGATTTTTCATGCAATTTGTGCGACTGCATTTCTATCCCATCGTATTTACTCCTTCACACGTTTGTGTGTGTGTGTACTCATGTCGCTATCCATGTAAATCGTCGGCGATAATTTTGACGTTGTTTCTTGTAGTTTCGTTTCTTCAATTCCTTGTTAGCCTTGTTGACTTTTCAGTTTGTTTTCACTTTGTCGATAATTTTAATTCTACTTCCTTTCTTAAGTTTTTAGTTCAATTTTAAAACGTGTGTTCACCGACATTCATTTCCAAACATTTTAGTAAGATGCTGTTTGAATTGACCTTAGCTATCTCACATCGGCTCTATCGAAGTGCATTACTTGTGTCAATGTCAGGGACGAGATACATTAATCGATGTGGAAACACTAAGCGAATTCAGAAATGAGAGATAAAACGGAGCATCATTAATGAGTTGTTAACACAAAAATAACTTCTATCTCATTTTATGATCCTTGGTACTCTGACGCTAAAAGATGTATTCTATGCACAAGTTTTCTTGAGCCTCGGAATACCTACCCCCTGCTCATTTGCCAACATCAGTTGAATGAAGAATAAATGATAGCAACGAGCGTTGTAGACAAAATCTGATAACCAGTTCGCTCCAGTGTAATGAAAACTATTTTGCATCGCAAAGGGAACTACAAATTGTATACGAATTTCCTTTCGTCAAAATAACCAAAACTTCCCTCTCCTCTCGCAACTAGCGAAGCGAGGGCACAAGAAACTAAGCGCGGATAATACTAATGAAAGGCAGAAGGAAGACATATTGTAATGCTATTTAAATTACAATTTAGTCATTAATAGAAAATAAATAAAATACGAACGCGATTAAGTTGAAAGCCAAGATACGCTCTCAATAAACCGCATCTTGCGAATAAACGGAACGAACTTGATAATTTATGTCTCTCATTTGCTACAAATTTAGTTTTGGTCATATTTTCACGTTTTGTTTTCATTACCTCAATGTCTACGATACGTTCGATAACCAATTATGTAATGCTGTGGGGCATATTGTGGGGAAAATGTGCCCTCGTGCATGACAAGAGACTTTTTATTGATTTCTTAGCAATGGTATCATCATTAACTATTTGCAAAATGTAATTTAAAATTTAATATTGGTATAGAGGAATTAATTTTGATTTTCTTAATGTTTCTTTGACATACTACATTTATTAGTATTGTTGTGTGCCTGCAAACGATACGTTATTTTCAAAATGCGTATTGTAGTACGTCTTATTAGAATATAAGATTAGGGAAATATCAAACTGCTTATGTCGAGTGTGAATCGAATAAGAGGTTTCGTTATACTATCGCACATTTAATCATTTAGTAAACGTTCTGACTTCAGTGGTTAATAAGAGGCCGTGGATTATTACAGCATTTGTGTTCAACTAAGACTTACCCCAAAACTCATTTCAGATCGTAAAGCTTCTCGTTAAATGACCAAAATGTATAAACGTATGAATGTATTGCTTCTGGCAGTGAGCTTTCCCTCATCAGTTTCCCCTCTCCAGTATCTCTGGAGCGGGGGGGGGGGTCTTTGATAGAGGTACATTTTATTGAGGCCGATCAGGCTTCTGCGATAGGGCCAGTCCAGCCAAACCAACTAAACGATACCTTTTTCTATTTAAAAGCTAAATTAACACAAAGCTCTCGGTAGTTGTAGCAAAGTGTTAATTAGCACCCCGTGGCTACCATGCCGAGCCGTGTGCTATTGTCCGATTTTCTTTAGAATGGGATGGTTTGATAGCTAGTGCTGGCAACACAACTGACGATTCTTTGGTTGTTGTATTCTTGAACTTACTAGACTCTCTTCCTCCATTCGTTCGTTTGCAGTTGGCTAATTTGTAAATAGTTACGACGCTTCCTGGCTGTGATGTCCTCGTCCGACGAAAATAGTGCGCCTCGAGAAATTATTGAAATTAGGAAATGCAGAGCTTTGTGCTCTTCTGTAAAAAAAAATTCTTTTTATAAAAATTACATTGAATTTAGTTTTTATGTGACTAGTATTAAAATAGTCTTTAATACGAGACGCGTACTCGTGACGGTGCACGTGTTTGCTTCTCTGAAGCACACGTGATGTTCACTTGTTTCGCGAACTGTCACTTTATCCCGTTCTCGAGGAGATGGTTCTGTAACCCGTGCGCTTTGCCGTTTGCAGCACGCAGGCCGCGCGCGACCTCTGGTGGGGCAAACTGAACGAGGTGGTTGCGGCGGAGCGCGCCAAGGAGCCTGCCTCCACCAACATCCAGGTGCTCTACTACGACCTGGCCACCAACATCGAATACGTGAGTACCCTTGAGCAGATGGGATGTGGCGGACCCGGGACCCTGAACGTACATTCGCACCCACTAGGAAAATAATAGAAAAATTTAATTATTTTTTTCGTGGTCACGGTAAAATACTTATTCCGTAAATACGCGGTTATTTTCAGTCCTATAACAACTGACTACTCCTTGTACAATACACGAATTCAGAAAGACGTCAAAGGCCAAAATATAAAACACGCTTTAGCGACAGTTTATTGTTCCAGGAGGATAGACACGTCGTGTAGTGCATATTTATATGAAAAATATTTATCAACTCCTTTAATAAAAAAAAAAATAATATCTGTAAAATTGGGAGACTTATTTTCAGTTTTCTTGCAATGAGGAATTTGGCGTTTGACGGGTTTCTGAAATAAATTATTCAATTATAAGAATTATTTAAAATTTTATAGACGTTAGACTTGAATATTATTTTTGCCCGGTATTATCTCATTCTGGCACTGGTAATAATGCAACGCAAAAACAAATAATGGAATAATGAATGTCTACTTTCCAAGTGTTGAAAACCTTGCTGTCTTTGGAAACTTTTATTCATTATTCAACTATTGATAGTTAAAATGTCGGGAAGAGATTCTGGAGATCAACTTTTCGCCCATATGTCACAGAGTTTTTACTGTTCTTTGACTAAATCAATTACATCAAGCTTACACAGACCTTCTCAACCTTAGACAGACTTAGACACAGAATGTTCTCGCTCAGAGCATTTCTTTTAGAACATCAATACAAGAAATGCAATGAAATCCCCACAGGCAACCCGCTAAACTTTTTCTTGAAACTTAGATATATACTGAACATTGTTGACCTCCTGTGTGATTTTTTGACAATCTTATTTTTTCTTTCCCATTTCCAACATAATTTTATTTTAGTATTGGTAACTAAGTTTAGTGGTCAATTTTTTTATAATTTATTTCAAAATATTGCCCATTTGGGATCCATTAAAATAGCTTCAATTCATGTATCCTCCCAATACTCTATTATTTGGCTGTTAGGCACGCATCGAATCAACATCTTCCCTCCGGCTTCTGCTTCCGTCAGTCCCCTCGGGGTGGCTTAGAGAGCCCGTGTGAGCCTAGTCGCGAGCTCTTCCGGTGTTGACAGAAATAGAGCTCCCCCGGCCCCCTATATATAGCGTCGTTGGTGAAAGGTTGACGAGACGCGGGCCGTTCTACGTACGAGGAGCAGCAGATCGCGGCTACCTGCCGGAGCCCTTCGCACTGCTTCACTCGTGTGAGCGTCGTGTGCGGGTCCAAACAGAAGGAAATGAAACTCGTCGGGCCCGTGCAAGTATTCCCTGCCTTTTCAGTAATTGTTGCGGAAGTGAAAATGGCTTCATACTACAGCCTAGCAATGCCCTTTAAATGTTCTCTTGGAACATTAAAAAAGTAGGCGTTTTGTAGATTCCGTGTAAGAAACGTATTCCTATTTCTACATGAAAACGAAAACCTTTATTTAGGGGCCAATGAGGTATCTTTTCAGAGATACGTGCGTTGCGGCATAACGTGTTGCGGGTTAAATTTGCGCCCGCATTGCCCTAGATCAAATGTTTGCCTATCCAGTAACAGCACATCTGTTCGTTTTGCGGGGGGAGTATGTTTACTGTTCCTTATAAATGGCACACCACCATATTTTCGTAGTGGCGTATAAAGAGCGGATACTTTTTTTTTTCTGAACCAGAGTTCTTGACCGAACAGGGCGTTGTGCGGGTCGCATCAGAATTAAATTACTCATACCAGGAAATATGGGCGTATCACTCTAATCAGGTGTGCCGCTATTGGAATTAGCAGCTCGGAATTGTTCTATCAAAATGCAATCCAGTCACATTGGATAGAGGGGCGACTGAACGTCTGTTCTGTCTTGCGAAGACCTTTGCAAAGCGCGGTGTGCCCCGTAATTTACCGCTGCCGCACCTGCCTCTCCGCCGGCTTTTTGTTCGCCCGCGCCAAAATTAGAGCCCTGGGCATTGTCATTGCGTAGGTGAGAGGCATAATCCTGGGGCCTGGAGGCGAGCGGGACCCTGCGAGAGTGGGAGAGGATCAAACGGAGCTGGTACGAGGCGACGGATGCCCAGGATTCCTTTCCAAACGAGAAAGTCCCCCTCGCCCGCTCCGCTCTCCGTCAGTTGTGTATTGCGCTCTCCGAAATAGCGTCCAATGTTTGTTGAGCGGCAGAGAAGGAATCCTACGTAATTAACTTGATCTTGGCTTTTCATGTATTTGAATGTTCCGTTTTTAGGTTTCACTGGAGTTAAGAGACTTTGTACGTCAAAATAAATTCTGTTTCGTATACTCCAGTAAATTGCTCATCATTCATTTTCAAAGGGGTGTGAAATTTATTTTTTAGAAATGGAAAACGTTGAGTCATTTTACAACACTACATACATTGCTTGAAATGGGATTAACGAAATAAAAGCTGACGCTGAGATACGCAGTATTTCGTTAACTGGGTTTCTTAAGTATTTCCTGTATATTCGGTGATAATACGTGCACCAAGCAAAGGCCATAGTGAAAATCCACGTCGGAAACTGATTGGATTTAATATTTTCCGTGCTTGCTCTTAATACCAGACGAATGCTGGAGAAGCGCCCCCTATCAAACGGGACACGGACCGCGCGCGATCTTTCTTTCATCTTCTTGCTCTCTCCCCACTCCTCACATTCTCAAATACATTCATGCACTGCACTACGAGTACCATACATCCCGGGATATCAGTCGAGAGCATAGAGCTCTTCCCAGTTAGGGAGATGCCCAGCAGGTGGGAGATACCTGCAAACCGACTGTAGGTCGTCGCCGGGTCTCGCCATGCAGCTGGGAAAATCACCGCGATAAAAAGGTGCACTACACTTGCGGGACAAATTACTTTAGCAGAAGACGCGCACGTAATCGCTAATCAATCGGGATATACTGATCAGGCACGGATTCAAATCCGGTGCTTATTGTTAGATTAAAACGTGGAGTCAGTTGACAGTTAATCAGCTGTGACGCTGTCCTTCAGTAGGGAGCTTAACGTCTCTAGGGGCGTCGCTATGAGGACGTTCAATTGAATGATATGGTCGCAGCTGACCAAGTGCAAACGGACTTAATGGTTTAATTACAGTATATTCGGATTGAAGCCCAGTCAACACCCAAGGGAATGTATTATATTGAATTGAATTAAATTAATGCCTTATTTTACGTGACGAGACTCGGGCAATCAGACCCTCTTTTCCGTCTGAGAACACAAATTTTACTACGCCCCTTTCACCAACTAGCGGAGAAAGGAGGTATTTCTTGGGTGACGAAACAGGCGATTTGAATTTAGCTCATAGGCGTCATTTAGGCTTGAGGATCTTATACATGCAAGTAAATGTAACATGGGACAGCCGGCTTTACTTCCCCTCCGAAGGAAGGCGTACGAAGGATATTTTTTCCGCCCTTAAAAATATCCGTATTATGAGAAGGAAATGTAAGGGCCCAATCACAATGGAAACATAAACATAAGCGTGGCGTTAACATTAAAAAGCGGACTCCTTCACAATGCGTTCGCATAAGGATAACACGTAAGACGTTAAAAGCTCCAAGCCTCTGTGCTAATGCTTACGTAAGACATAAAAATGAACCAATCACAGAACGATAAATCGAAATCGGAGCAAAGTCGATAGACGAACTAACGCATAGATACAGTCGATATCTTGAAATCGATTCTCTCCTCCAAGCAGAAAGTCTCACAGCCAACAGAAACGTCTTTGCTTCCGTTGACGCGAGGCATTGTGAATGCTCTATGTTACTGTTTACGTGTCCGGCAGGTGAAGACGCTGAACGTGGGGCCCGAGGAGTCTGCGCGCGCGTGCGTGGCGCAGGCGCTGCAGGCGCTGGAGCTGCGCGGCGTGAGGCCCGACCACTTCCAGCTGTGGGCCAAGACGGCGCGCGACGAGGCGCCCTACCCGCTGGTGGGCCACGAGCGGCCCTTCGCCATCAAGCTGTCCTGCCTGCGCGACGCCCTCGCCACCGACGAGGGCTTCGACCTCGACCACTGCAACTCGCCGCGCGGCCCGCTCTTCGCGCACTGCCAGTTCATCCTCAGGTGCGCTCTCCCCTCTTCTCCTCCCCTTCTCTCCCTCTTGTTCCTCCTCTTCCTCCTCTTTGCATCCTCTCTTTCGCCTCCTCTTTGCACAGCCTCGTCTCTCCCTCTTGTTCCTCCTCTTTGCCTTCTCTCCCTCTTGTTCCTCCTCTTTGCCTTCTCTGCCCCTTGTTCCTCCTCTTCTCTGCCCCTTGTTCCTCCTCTTCTCTGCCCCTTGTCCCCTCTTATTCCTCTTTGTTGCCTCTTCTTCCACTCCACTTCCACTCATTACCTCCTATTTCCATGTTTTTTTATCCCGTGTGTTCTGTTAATGATGTGGTTTTCTCTTTCTGTGTACATACCACCTTCTTTTCTTGTTATTTCTTAAAATTTTACTTGTCTTCCTCCACCCTCTTATAATTAAACTTTATTTGCTTGATGTTGATCTTCCTTATTCATTTCTTTAGTTCAGTAAAAAATTGCAATACAAAATAAAGAAACCCAATCACTTCTTACTCTAATACAAAATATTTGGTTAATTGTGTTGCAAAGTGAAACCAGAGGGGAACTTAAAAACTCAATTATGAAAATGTCTCTTACATTATTATTTTTTCTACTAAGTTGTTTGGTTTTGCTACCTTAGCAATTGAGCTTTCCTCCAAGACTTGGACAGCTTTCCCTTTACTCTCTTATCAAAACCTATTTGGGAGTCCGTAGTTGATCATTCACTCTTGGTCAGAGCTGTTAAGAGCTCTTACTGTGAATGGAGTCTCCACAAGAAGTGACATCAGCTCAGTCTGAGAGTTGTTACATAAATGTGTGCTGGGTGTGGCACTTGCGTGTGCTGGTGGCGTTTCAGCTTTCTGACTAGCTTTTAGCTTTCATGCCTTCCTTCCTCTTGTGCAAAGGTTCAGAGGACTTTGACATGCATTAAGAAATTGTTGAACCTGCCTTGAGTAAACTATGAAATTCCAGCATTTCTAAATCTTATTGCTCATCACCTTTTCTAATGGCATAAAGCAACCAGCTACATGTCTTTTCTCTTTTTTAATTCAATTATCATAAATTACTGCTGCTTGCAGTCAAAAGTATGAAACAACAATTATTAACTATTGTGTACTCACTGATGTGCAGAGGATTTTCTACATAATGTTTTCGGATTTGTAAACAATGTCCACTTTTTTAAACTCAAGTTGCATGGTCTACAAACTAGTATTCTTTCAAATCTTAAACATTCATAACTGACAATTTGCATTCGATAACAAAAAGGTAATTGAATATATTTTTTCAGGAGCAAGAGGAAAGCATCAGATGCTGGAGCAGCTCTGGATGGCAAGAAGTCCGGAGGCTTGGGCAAGAAGAGCCGCAAGTCACCAATGCGCATCCGGCAAGTGTTCAGACGCTCGGCAAGCAAGGATAATGTAGACGGAGCAGTGCCAGGCAATCCTACAAGTTCACCCCCTGGTGCTCTGTTTGGGATTCCGTTGTCCCGGCTCATTGTTGGAGACACACCTCCTAGACCAGTAATGGTAAGTTTCATAATGTGTTGTATAAAGCTTCTGCATGCCAGTTGTAAGGTAGTCTTCTTGTTATATTTCGATGAATCTTAATATAATTTTTCTATTTGTAGAATAGCTATTTGTATGTTGAACATTTTTAATAGGAAATGCAAAGATTAAAATTATGAAATATTAACAATTATTTTGCTGAACCTATAAAACTGTAACATAAAAAGTGTTTCTTGCCTGGCTCATTATATTGCAAGATAATGTTTACAATGTATTATGTTTATGTTCTTAGGCAATGCTGCAGCAAGTGGCAGAGCAAGGACCTTCAACCCAGGGCATCTTCCGACGTTCTGCGAACGCTCGACTCGTAAGAGAGCTTCGTGATCGCCTGGATGCAGGTGGTGACAACGCAACGCGTGCTCTTGAAGGAGTACCTGTGCTGGTTACAGCAGCGCTGCTGAAGGACTTTCTTCGGTCGCTGCCCGACCCCCTATTGTGTGCTCGACTATATCCTCTCTGGATGGAAGCTTTGGATTGTCCTGATGAACAGGAACGTCTCGCAAGAGTTAAAAGGTATTGCCTACTTGTAATTAGCTGTCATAAATCTGGTACAGTTTTGATCATTCTTTTAATGAAACAAATAACCATATTCTGTAGATAACATGAATAAATTCCAACATTTCAATGTAAAATGGTTGGGAGGCACATCATGAATATTTATTTACCAACCATGCGCTTCACATTAGTTATCGTTATTTTCATTAGTAATTTAAAGACTAATTGAATTGTTCCTTTCCCTTGTAGTGTTTTGGATCAGCTGCCTCGTACCCACCTGGTACTCCTGCAGCTGTTCATGTGTGTTTTACACCTGGTTGCGCGGCGTGCCCAACACAATCTGATGACGCCTGCCAACCTGGGTGTCTGCGTTGGGCCGAGTCTCCTGCGCCCGCCGCCAGGCGCCGCGCCTCCTGCTCCGCTCTCGTCTGCCGCGTCGCGAGCAGTGCCTGCTCTCGTAGAGTTGCTTGTAGCGAGGTGCGAACTTCTCTTGGGTCCCCATGTCCCTCACCTGCTGGGACACGATGGTTCGCCTACTGCCAACGCGCCCGGTGCTGGAGGACCAGGCAACGGTACAGGGTCTGCACCCAATGGTACTGGGCCGTCCGATGTTGCTAGAGGGGACAGCGGTGCTGAAGAATCCGATAGTCTACATTGTAAGTGCTTCTTGCAGTTCACAATTATTTCTTAACAGCAGATTAATCGGAAAATTTAGTGTGTTTAATTTCTTCACTATGTCTGGCTTGGTGAGCTTTTTATCCAGATATTTTTAAAAGTAATGTTAAAAAAGAATTAAGGGGAATATAATGCTCCTTTTTAACAATTATAGAGTACAATAAAAAAATACTATTTAAGAAAATAGTGCATGTTATAATCTACTTTTCCTACTCTGCAGCAAGTGGCCTCAGGAGGGACGATTCCTCCATTGACTCTCTCGAGAGGGAACTCCTTGAGCCCGGCCATCTACCTCCGCCCCGCAAAGACAAGATGTCGCTGAGTCGTGACTCTGGGCTCACGATGAGCGACTCGCAATTATACACTCCTGACGAGGAGGAATCAAGCTCGAGCAGCTCGGCCGGTTCTGGTCGAGGACTCTACCCTCCCCCGCAGGCCAGCCAACCTCTGTCCTCGACGGGGAACCTCTCCGGGCAGCCTCAGACCTACGAGTTGCATCCCCATGCAAAGGTACGGTGGAAACATTTTGTCTCTTTAACAGAGTGTGAACTGTAATGAAATGATAAGGAGGAATACTGCGATATAACCAAGAGCCAAATTTGTGCACTGTTTTAAGACATAACTCTCTTCTGAAATGTTGGGTAGTCCCATATAAATCAGAGAGTCATCAGCATGTCACTTAAATCATGGAAATACGTTAGAAGGTGCCAAAAGAACTTGGAAAATAAAACTTACAATTTTAGTGAGGGTTGCTCAGTTGGCATCATTGTATGTCCAACTTGCAAAACAAAAAATTGTGGCTTACGATTCTCTCAGATCCTTTTATGACTTAAAATGACTCAGTGAGACAAACAGGGAGTGGAGGAAATTTTAGTGAACTTCTTCTTTTGCTAAGAAAACTTAATTTCAATGTCACAATAAGAGGTATGGCAAATTCTTAAAATATGTTTTCAGTGTGTAACAATATTGTAGTGACGATCAACAGCAGGGAAAAGGGTATTTCTTGAGTGAGTTATTGAATCATAGCATTGAGCATGATTAATTGAATCATATACCAGTATATATTCTTAAATAGAAAACTATTTCAGTACAATCATATATGTACTATTTATATTTTCTCTTTCTATTAAATGTTTTCTTTCCATTGAATACAAATTTGGTGCACATGATCCTTTCAAGTGAAGATCCATATATTACATTGGGTGATCTGGGCTGTCCGGGTGACACCGTGTCGAAGGCTGAGTTGCCGACGTTTCAACCATCCTGGTAACATACCAGCCCTGAGGAAGACCACGACTGGATGGTCGAAACGTCGGCAACTCAGCCTTCGACGTGGCGTCACTCGGACAGCCCAGATCACCCACATGACTCTGGCCGCGGAAGCCTACGACTCCATATATTATATTCTCAAAAATGATATTCCTGATGCTTCAGAACATACATTGTATTAAGAGTCTACATTTTAGTGTGTCATCAATTTACCTGTGGATAACAAGGCTATTACTCATATTTCCTCAGGTGACATCATCATATTCTGTGCCAAATTCCGGTTGCGACCCATCTAATGGCTTGGGTATCAGCAGCGGACCACGCGAATATGTCCGTGTGTACGGTGGGTGGGAGGAGCGTGTTGCTGATTGCTGCCGAGAAGACTCTGTGTACGCGAGGCCCTCGCGGTTACTCCAGCAAGCCCAACAGCAGCAGCAGCAGAACCAGCACCAGCCCTTGAACCCGAATTTCCAGCGCGAGCATTGGTTTCGGCAGAGGTCGCATCTGAAACGGGTGTCCTCCGGCGGCTCCGGTGGGAAAGCAGGTTCAGGTAAGATGGAATGAAATTCTCGCTAGTTATTGAAATACACTTCCAGGGAATTGTAACTACATTGTTCATTTTTAGATGTTTCGCTATGGATTATAAGTTGTCAGAAAATTATTATGTCTTTAATTTCGATTCATTCATGGCACTGATTTTAGATCCTAATTTTGGATTGTTTAAACTTAATTTATTACATCATGCTTCAAAAACATTTTCAAGATTGCAATTCCTCACAATAAGTTTTTGTAGACCGTGCTTTCTGTATTATATTCTAACAGACTCGTTAAAATGATAACAACACTAAACATGTTTGTTAAAAAAATAAAAAATTAAAAAAGTAGCCAGGAAACGTCTGTCGAACTACATTGTACCCAACTGACAATTAATATACTAATACATCACAATGATAATGATATTGATATGATATATAATTGACATACTGAGGCATCAAAATGCATTCAACTCAACATTAGGTTATGGACCCAGAAAATAGAACTGGTACAAACGCAACATAGTAATAGCAAACCAATGTTTTATTATTTGCATGTTCTTGCTTTCCCGACCTCTACTTTTTAATGATGGAAAGAATCTTGAGAGTTTAGGTTGTATGGAGGAAGTGACAATGATTTGATATGAGTTCATCCTCCCCCCCCCCCCCCCCCCCCCCCACCCAGTACGGTCCGCTTGTGCACGCAAGCTTTTGCTTCAGCAGGGGCAACGTACATTCTGGAGGCATTTAGCTGAATCCCGATTTTTATTTCTCCAAGGTTGTTAACCCTGAGTCTTGTACGGTGGGGATGATAGTGACAACGAAAGGCGTACATTACAACAAATACAGCCATGCCGAGCGAGTGTCGAGAGCCGTTTACGCACTACGCCCGTAACGATCTCGTTGCCATCCAGACCGGCTATTGAATTGCTGTAATGATGTTGCTAGATTGTGGAGTCGTGTGGGTGACGCGAGCGTGTGTTGTGTGTCAGTTCCGCGTGAGCGCGCGGCAGTCCGCGCCCCCCTCGGCCTGGGCTCGTCGGCGGCTCCAGCTCGGGCTCCGCGTCGTCGGGCGTGGCGGCTGCACTCTACCCACGCGCCACTCGCACGCGGTGCTGCGCGCTCGGCCTCGGAGAGAGCCTGCTGAAGCGACGCCGCGGCGGCGGCGGCTGCGGCCGACGGCTGCACAAGCGGCCGGCGTTGCACCGCAAGTGGCCGCGCCCCGCCGCCCCCCGCCGCCCGGCGACGACCGGCGCAGCGCACGCCCGCGCGTGTACCCGGTGACGCCGCTGCTGCGCTCCAAGTCGGCGCACCAACCTGCCCGACGCGGGCCGCGGACGCCGTGGGGTCGCCGTGCCCGCGGCGCGGCCTGGCGGCTGTCGTGCCCCGCGGCCGCCGCCCGCCGCCGCTCCGGCGCGCGGGCGCCGCCCCTGCGCCGCGGCCGGCGGCGACTGGACGCGATCCGCGCTCCACGCCGCACATCGCGCCCGCGGCGCCGAGGCCCGGCGAGGTGAACCGCTTCGTACGACTCGAGCACGCTGTTCGGACGACGACTCGACGCACGCACGTGTCGCGCTCCAACTCGCGCGCGCAAGGACTGCGCGGCGGGCCAACAGCGCGTGGAGAGAGCGCGTACGGCGCGCCACCGAGCTGCTGCGGCGCGGCGCCCGTCAGCATCCGCGAGGACCGGCCCCCGCCGCCGGCGGCGACGCGCCGCGCCGCCCGCTGCCCCCCAAGCGCCGCACCCCGACGTGCGGCTGCCACCTGCCCCCGGTTGCACGTGACGCGGCCGCGCGCCCGTCAGCTGCTAAAACGACGACGCTGGGAGGCGGCGAGAAGCGCGCGCGCCGAGCGACGCGGGCGCTGCGCAGCGCGACCGCTCCCGCGCGTCGCAGCGCTCAAAGTCGCTCCCGCCGCCCCCCGGCGCGGACGGCGCCCCCACCCCGCCCCCGCGACGGCCCCCGCACCCCCGCGGACCGGTCCGCGTCGCCCGGGCTGCGAGGGGAGCTGTCGTGGAGCGTGCGCCACCTGCGCTCGCTCTTCTCGGGCGGGCAGCAGCCGCCCCCGTACCGCCCGCCGCCCAGCGTCATCCCCAGCTACCGCGCGCCCATCACCAGCTACCACCTGGGCAGCCACAGCCCGTCCGAGCGCTTCGTGCACAGCCAGCAGCAGCAGCAGCAGCAGCAGCAGCGGCTGGTGCTGGAGCTGGGGCCGTCCTCCAGGAGGCTCCGGATGGACTCGACGGACGAGGAGGAGTCGTACGTGTGAGGTTCGGTACCTGACTCTGGACAAAATCCGCCCGTAGTCTGGGTGATGAGGGAACGGGCTGGTTGGTACGCAGGAGAATTTCACCTGCTCTCTCTTCTCTGGAGGGCAAGCCTTGTCCCCAAACTGACTGTCACCCAGCGTCATCCATAGCTACCACCTCGGCAGCCAGAGTGGTTCATGCAGAGCCAGCGGTTCCTGGTGTTAGGGCTCTACCGGTGTCCAGGACGGACTCAAAGGATATGAGTCGAATGTGAGAGATTGGTTTCTGACACTGGACATCATGTGCCAGTATGTGGGTTGGCTGATGGACCGTGGGGGAACAGCCTGGTTCTTATACAGAAAAATCTCATTCATGTTGGGTGTTGATTCTGTGACTGTCTAGTTGTGCTCCAGATCTTTGTTTGTGATGTTGGTGTTCAAGATGACAGAGGACTTGATAGCTGACAGTCAAAAGCAGATATTTTAATATTACCTGCATTTTATTCATTATAGTCATGTACATATTTGTTTGTATAGTATCATTATTGTTTTACACAAGTTTATTCACAAGAGCAGACAAAGTTATTTGCAAATGATTTAAAGAACAAAAGTCGAGAATTGTTGAGTATATGTATAATGGATTTTGATAATTGTGAACTACATGTTTTCACAAATATTGTTTATTTTTCTACTGCTCAGTGCCACTTAACTAGGTCATGACCTTATTTTGAGTCGTGAATTATTATTGAGTGCAAGAATATTATAGAGAGACCACTTCATAATTTGTTGTTAATAATATCCACATTTGTGGTTTAATATAAAATGTTGCTTCTCAGAGAGTACAGTGAAGAATAATATACCGTATTTAAGTGTCAAAACGTCTCACAAATGTTAACTTAGATGCTAGTAATTTAAGACCTCTTATGAATAAGTTGTCTACTTAATTTCAGTGTTATATTTCTTTGCTAAAAACTTTATAATCTCAAATATTGAGGTCTTAAAACCATTAAACAAATCAAGACATTAAATTGTTACTTGAGGATTCAGAAAACAATTGTTAAAATGTTTCTTTTGAACTGTAAATGGTCATGCATCTTCAGTTAGTCTGTTTTAAAATTTCATTTGAGTGAACTTGCTCAAATGTGAATATTCATCTCTTTGTGAACAGTATTTTCAACTCAGGTTTAGACAAGATTATTATTTTCTTTTTGCTTTGTTAGATATCATTGTCTGCTAGACAACATTCAACTTACTTTGTTGAGTTAACTATGTGAGATAGTGGCAGGGATGTATGTTCTAGTTATCTGGTCAATTTTTGCGATGTGCCTTGTAAAGTATTAGAATCAGTAACATCATTGCATCAATGGTGCCATGTGTATATTGTATAAAATAAATTTTTGAGTGTTAATCAGGTGTTTTTTATTTGAAACCCTTGTTTGGATTTCTCAAAATCTTTATTCTCATGTGTATGTCTATTATATAAAATTCAAATTTAAACTTTTCTTTATTAAGAATTAAATTTAACCTATGAAAATTTAGTTTTCAGAACAAACTGAATTTATTATTGAAAATAAAGCAAAGTATTAGGCCTTTTGAGAATATAAACATTTGGAGACAAGTTCTGGACAATATTACCTATTTCAGTAATATATTTTTGTTTATACTCTCTAATTCAAGTTTACTATCATAAGAAGAGCCTGTGTGCTTGTGCACCTGCAGATAGGTTTCATAAATTAAATTTTACTTTTTCTTCAACTTCATAAAAAAATAATTTTAGAGGAAATCCCATCAGCATGCAAGTGACATGATAGATCTACATGTGGGAAGCACCCCTAAATTTAAATTCTAGATGTTCAAAAATTTGGAAATATATTTGTGATTTGAGAAAAATCTTATGAAATTGCCCCTATCCACTTTAATTTATATTGCAATCTTTCCTAACAAAATAGTCAAGATGAATCTGTAATGAGATGATCAAATTTACAATAAAAATTTTGGTATTATTGAGAATATTCAATATCAAAGTGAACTTTATACCATTATTAGACAATGGTATTTGTAGGGTTGGAATACATTTCCGTTACCTTCCATTTTCAAGCAATCAAACCTCACTGTCTGCGCCTCATCACATTCCTTAATTAGAAATAGCAAAAAGTGAAATGCTTTTGGAAAAGGGCTCTCAAAATTTATTATGTATTGTTGCTTAAAAGAAAAAAGTACTCCCAACTTGTCAAACAAATAGAGATATCTTTAAGAAGTTAGTTTCAATAACTAATTTTAATGGTACTAATACTGTATTTACCATATTGGGAGGAAGTAAGTTTGATCTTCAGTTGAAATTTATGGAAGTAGGTCACAATAGGAATTTCTGTTACCTTAACTGTGTTTTAAATTACAGTATTCATTCATTTGTATGTTTTAAAATTGTTGATTAGTTATGTTCTGTATCATAATATACATAGATTAAGGTACATAACTTTGTTTACAATTTTCTGTAGATTGTAAATATATTGTTTGCAATTTTACATGGCAAAATTATATTCTAGATTTGTATCTTTTTAACACTATTCAAACTTTACACAAAGGAATATTGATACAACAAAGAATAATTTTATATATCTGATATCCAGATCTGTCGAGTTAATTTTGATATAAGCCATTATTCAAACTCTTCACCAAAACAATATTTATTATTAAATCAATGCAATCTTGATTCTTACCACAACTTGCTCTGTTTCTTCTTAATATTAGTATTATGGAGGGTAATGACCAGGGACTGGATTTTAAAATATATATTTTTCTCATTAGTAAGAAAGTATGCCCACTGGGTATATCCTGTATCAATTATTTTAACAATTATTTTATGATGCACATATTGTATATTTTACATTTTCTTCAAGAACACCATAATTGTGTAAATTGCTATTTATTCTTCCCATATTACTTGTGAACAATTATTATATCATATTTACTTACTACATTTATTTTAGTAATTTTAGTTCTTTAATTTGTGTCAGCATTAGTGTGGTTCAATGTAGTTGGCAACAATTTTCTGAATCTGGTTTATGCAACACAAGAAACGAAAAAATCACAATCATTTCAAGTTTTTGAACTTGTTACCAAGTCCATCTTGAAAATCTGTAATGCTGATAAACTAACACGCCTGACTATAACTCCCACAAGTCACAGTCTTCTCCTACAAATGATAGTGCAAGAAGATATGAAAAAATCCTTTTCAAGAAATGAACGTAACTAGCAAGGAGTTCTTAGAAATATTTTAAAATGTGGTTTGGAGGGCAATTATGAAATACTTTTAGTAGTACTTTTAGTAACAGTATTTCTTTTCTGAAAACTAATACTACTCTTAAAATTTCATTGAGTAGTGAAGTAAGAGTAAAGTGTCAGATAAATGTACTGGCATAAAAATTATAGTAATAGTGTTATGATGGGTAAATTTAGAACTTTTAACAGGATTTTTAATGCATATTTTCCAAGTTTTTACTGTATAAATGTATACATTTCATAGAGCATATTAAACCAGTCCTTAGAAATGACCAAAAACCAAACATAAGAAGTGCATAAAATATTACTGCCTAATATTTGTAGTTTGTGAAAGAAAGATTTGGCACTGCTGCCATTATCTCTAATTTTCACTTTCAATACTTCCAAGAAACAACTTACTAAAGCTATATTTAACACAAGAAACAAATTAACAAAGAAACAAGGTTCTTTGTATTAATAGAATGACCACTAGGAATGAGTTTTAACAATATCTCCAATCTTTGCACTACAGTGCAAATACTGCACAATATTGCAATAGATCATATTGCAAGATAAACAACTTGCCCCAACTGTCACTTGAAAGAAGGCTAACGGAGAACCTTCAGTCAGTAGCACTGCCATGAAGAGTCAGTAGCACTACCATGATGGGAAGTCAAAAAAGATCATTCAATTCCAAAACCAACCAATTTTTATACAGAAACAAGTTATATATTATATACTTTATAATACGAAACATACAGAAGTAACACAACTCAAAAATGGATGATTTTGAGTTAATACTACCATTGAACAAAGCAAATTTCTATTTACAAAATGAAATCAGTTACGGCAGCAGTTACAGTAGAATTAGACACATTAAAAGAGAGAAAACAAGAAAATAATAAATTAGTGGGACGTTAATTGCATAATCATTCTAGGTTTTGAGCTTTATTGAAAAGTGTGTGTTAATATGTTGATACATTTATTAGGGAATGATGAATTAATTAATTACATTTTTTTATTTATTCTGATTTACAGTGTGCATTCTTGTATGTTATATATTTTCAAGTGTTATAATTCCCTATAATCAAAATATTACCCTAGAAGGCAAATAATCTAATGGCATTTTGTTTAACATCAAGAATTAGATTATACAATGCAGAGTAGTAATGGAGGAGACAGGCAGGTGAAATGAAAGAATCATACTAATATCAAATGTAAGTGTAGGCTTCTGTAGCCGGAGTTTGTAGATACTTTGCTGTTTGTGAGACAGAATTCAAGTCACTGGCTGTCATAATGTAACATTCCTCAGGTAAAATTCCCCTCTGATACACTTTGCCCTTCATAAAAGGACATTAGAGTTGACAGATGTGCGCATATGAAGATACCCCAATTTGCTGATATTTTTTGTCAAAATTTGTTCTCAATTTATTACGACTTGAATTTTTTAGAAATAATTTATAAATATTATCAACAAGTCAAATTTATTTTTTAAAAGCCAAGTCAAATTTTTATTTTAATTCTTAAAATTTTAAAACAAAAAATTTGAATATTTAAATTATAAAATAATAATCAAAGTTCATGTGATCTTTATTTCATTTTGATTACAATTGTACTTAAGAAGACCCAACACACATCTGCAGCAACTGGATATTTTCCAATGGCAATTTGGAAACAAAACACTAATATTACGCCAATAGGTATACAGTTTTCCTTTCTGGCAGACATTTTTGTCTGCATGACATTACACAGAAGTAAGGTATACATTCATATTCCTAAATGACAACTACCTTCAATTTAAAACTATTATGTTCTAATTTATTACACTTTCTGTTAGACTGTTTTTCTTTTCTTCTTCTTCTTTTTCCATTTCTATACCTCTTCACAACATTCATAAAACGTTTTTTTCTTTATGGAATATTATTTCACAGGACAAGGTAATGAATTCAAGAACATTAAAAGTTACCATTAGGAAACAACCAATTGGATTTGGATGGACTTCATTGGAAGATAATATTTGGATTATTAGTTCTTTTTAGGATAATGTAATACTTTCTTCTCCTTAATCCCACCCATTTGTGGACTGTTTCCAAATTTTTAGTCCTTATGTTTTTAATGATAAATAATCACCCGTTCATAGGTAAATTGAACTTACTTATTAAAATAATTCACTTGAATTTAATATTTGTGTTTTTTTAATTTTTAAACATTTTGTTTTTAACCATTTATCTTAAAAATAAAGTAAATAAAGTGCATAGAAAAAAAACAACATAAACATATTTAATTAGTCACCACCCCTCAGTGATGCAACTCTCTTTCCCCCCACATAGTTCGGACGTGTGGTGCATAACAACGACCGTGGTTGCTCGCATTGATTTTCTCGTGTAGTTTTGAGAATTTGATTTTATCATGAAGTCTTGGTGTTTGTGGTTTTCTGATATTCCTTCGCTGCTTCATTGATTGAAACTGTGTACATGACAATACATTTCTAATATTCATGATATTGTTGACCCCGAACCGTTATTTCAAACCAATTTATTGCTTTGTGTTTCAGCCTCTCAATATTACTACTTCGTCCGAATAACATAATTGAAAATTAGGAATCACAAACATTGCACAAGAAAACCAAAATCTTTAATGCTGGCAATATTTGAAACAGTCATTACTCAGGTTTGGAGTAGGATGAAGAAATCCACTTGTTCGCTTACATGTGCGAAGCCCGATAGTCTTTAGACTATATCAAATAAAAATCATCTTTACGCGCGATTCGCCGGGCTGAAAAAAATCACACAATATGATACAAATAAATTATACAAAATTAGAACGGTATCAGACACTAATATGAAAGTACATATTTTCTTACGGGGGACATCACTCACTTCGTGTTTTTATCTCACTAATATTTCAAACAGACAGAACAACATTAATTTGTATTGTTTTTATATTCAAACTGCTTTCTAGTTTTTAAAATAAACTCAAGGAAATATTAAATGATCATCAATGAGAATGTTAAATCGCATTCTTTTTTTATTGACAGAAATTGAAAGCATTTACAAGCCATACGTCAAGGAAAAAAGATTCTGTCCACCCGTGATCAACTTATAAGAAAATGATCGTGAGAATTTGGTGCCAACATAGAAAACTTGCAAATTGCAGAATTCGTAATCACTTCGCACGCCTTGTGCCATTTCCCACCCTTATTTGGACATCTGGGGTGGAACATTCTCGAAAACTTCCCTGCGCCACGACCAACGAAGGGGTCCATTTATGGAAAAAATACTTTCATAATATTCCAATGTCCCTTTTCTGGGCGAGCCCTCATCGACCATATGCCCATAATAATAATAATATCTAATGTAAGGGTTCCACCGAGGTATTATTTATTCACCTCATACCCTTACATCATACTCCGTATCTCGAGAAAGAGCGATCGATTTCAAGACGCGTCGAGAAAGTTCGGCGAGCCTATATAAACTCGCCCGCGGACCCCGCCGCTGTCAGTTGAATTGACGGCTAAGTGTCGTGTGGTATTTGTGCTGTTCACGTGTTAGTTTCGTGTGATTTTGGTTGTAAGCAAACGTTGGATTGTAATTCGTTTTGAGTCGTTTTGAGGTGAGTTATAAATTCTGTGGGGAAATGCGCTTTTGATTCACTTGTGTAATTTCCAGTACGTAATATTGTTCCATAAACGACGTAGTTTATATTTTGTTTCCAATTACGTTAGAGGAATCTCATTAGATTCCTTGGAATTTTTTCAATATTGCATTTGTCTAAAATCGTTAGGGATCCCCTGCTTTTATTTTACTGCGCGATTATTTTCTGTTCTCTAAAACGTTTTGTGTGTAATTATTGCAGATGTCTCTCTCTCCCTACTTCTTGAACGACTTCCTGAACGATTTTGGGTACCCTTTTCGCACGGGCAGCATCTTTAACCAAAACTTCGGTTTAAGTGACCACCACGATGACTTGGTTCGCCCCTTACTATGTCCTTATGTGTCTGGCAATATTCGTCCTTGGCGTCATCAGACTGTTCGAAACGGCGGCGTTTCTCATATTCAGAACAGCGAAGATGCATTTAAGGTAAATAAAATTGTTTGCAATCTTAAGTTACCCTTGCTTAGGGGGAGGGGAAGTAAAATTTGTAATATAAATTTTCTGTTTACAGGTGAATCTCGATGTTCAGCAATTTAAGCCTGATGAGATAAATGTGAAAATGGTGGACAATTTTGTTGTTGTTGAGGGCAAGCATGAGGAGCGGCCTGATGAACACGGCTTCATTTCACGCCAGTTCCAACGTCGTTATAGACTTCCGGATGATGTAAACCCAAATGCTCTGGTTTCAAAACTTTCTTCAGATGGTGTTTTATCCATAGAGGCTCCGAAGAAAGCAATAGAGTCCACAGGACCTCACCGTGTTGTCCCAATCACACACACAAATGCCCCAGCTGTGACACCAGTGTCGCATGCTACTGAGAAGAAAGCGTCTACAGGGGAAGAGGATGGAGACAAAGTGAATCTGTAAAAGTTTCTTAATAGATAGCATGTGCATGTGTGACCCTGTATACTTCTGGTCTTGTACAATTTTGAATTTTATGAGGAGTGCATTTTTATTGGCATTCCAATAATTATATAAACACTTAATGATAAGACTGATGTAAAATTTGTAGACAATTTTGTAATAAATATTTCATAATTATATATCGTCACTTTATTATTTACGTTCCTGTCCCTTTGATATATATTTCTTCATTGTTGTTTAATATTATAATCATAAATAAGTATTCGGTAATATGCCTTTGCAACTTCCTGGTGTAAAGAATTTTAGAGGCTTTTAAAGTTCAGTTCACAAATTTAGTCCAAATTTTCACATATTCATTAACACAGACAAAATAGAATTACAGTAAAAACTTGCTCCAAATGGAATTTAAGGGATTTTATATTTGATTTATGTTCAAATTAAGATTATTGAATTTTACATTTTCAGCTTTCAGACAGTGTAACTGTTTTATAAATATTGAAAGGAATCACAGTGACAAACATTAAATATTTGCAGTAGAAATGTGGGGTAATAAGGGGATTTCACTGCAATATATTAGTGAGGTTGGAGTTCAACTGCAAATGATTGTTCATTTGTTGAACATTTGGGTTATTTTAAGATCAGACAATTGGCTTAATTTGCTGTTTCTTCCTGCTTTATCATGGAAAAACATTTGAAGAAAACAAAAAAAATGGATAGATTGGAGTTTTAGAAGTGGAATATCTAAATCAAAATTTTTTGGTAGAGTTTAATGTTACGAAGTAGTAATGAATTTAAAAAAAGAAAGCACTGAGAGAGCTTAAAAAATTAGTGTTTTTTAGTTTTTGTGTTGCATTATGTTGTCTCTGGGTTGGCTAAATTGAATAACTGATCTTTGACAAGCTTGATTTTCAATGCTTATTCAAGTAACATAAAAATGTATGCAACAATTCTACATAAATCTTTAACATTATTTCTATTATTTTTAATGTAGTGTTCACACTTAAAAGCATGAATTAATCCTAGTTCAACTTACACGATTTCATTTGATTTAATGGATTTGAAGCACAGAGGAATTGGCATGGCTATTCATTCTACAAGCTATGTCAAATAATTCACCTGTAACTCAAATATCGCCATGAATATTTTTAAATATGTTTATGAGAATTCGACGGCAAATACAAAACATGAGGCAATAAATCATTGATCAAAGCAAGTAATTTAACTTGAATGCTTGGAAAGAAACAATCAAAAGAATCCTAATATTTTCCTTTTTCGAAGTATTGGTTAATTTTTATAATAGTTTATTTTTAGTCATTTGCAAAAGATGGCAATTAATTAATTACTATGGGAATTTTGAGACAAATTAAGCATAACTTTGCTGAGAGTAAGTTAAGTGGTGGTCAACATTTAATATTGAAAAGGTTCTTTTATGGGAATTGTGCTTGAAAATATGACTTGCACAAATTATGTGCATACACAATTAATTAGCTTTAAGATGGCCTTTAATAGAATATAATGCAATTTTATTGGCTTTAGATGTGATATTTCAACAATAACCTTACCAAGGTAAGCCTCAATGCTGATTTGTGCTTATGTTGTATGTTCTAACTTTAAAATTTTTGCGATTGTTTCCCTAATTTCCTGTTTTTCCAGACACAATACCTGAAGTACCAACCAAACGTTGAGCTGTGAAACGTAAGTTTTCAAAGTTTTGTCAAGATCATACGTGTTATTTTTATTACATTTAAGCATTCCTCTAAACATTCTTATACATTTCCCCTCACTTCCCCATTTATCTATGTTCCTTTATTTGGTTTTAACTGACCTAAAATTCCATACAAACTCAATAACCAAGAAAGTGATTGTCTATAATTAGAAGGATACCGAATGTTTGAACAGATTTAACAGACAATTGAAGTGTGATCCAGTTTCCCACCAAATTATCATTAAGAAACAGCAACATAAAATTACAAAACTGAAATGAATAGATTTTTTAGAATTTTTCTTGTAATTAAGTTGTCAAATGTGTCATTTTTGACTCCAACTGCAAAAAAATCGAATTATTTCCAACAAAGAAACAAACTTAGAAAACTGAAAAGATTACAACATATGTAAAACTGGATGCAAATAGCAGATCTAAAAGGAAAAGTTTCTGTGAATAATTTTCAGAGTGTTTCAAAACATTATTTGTCTCTGGGGACAAAAAAGACCCCAAACAGAGTCTTAAGGGATGTTATTTCACTTTAATTCTCATTTCAGCATTTTCCCAGGACCACCAGGACAAATTGTCTAGCTGTGGCACTGATGACATATTCTTCTCATGATTTTTATATATGGGGAGGTACAACACCAAAGAAATGGATAGATTAATGGTCCTAAAAAAAATTATCAGAAGCATTTTCAAACTGAATTCAAGACCGTCCTGGAAAGCTTTCTTTATCAAATACAAATTACTGACTGGTAGCACTCTACTCTTACAAAGTATTACTATGTACTATTGAGAAATAATAAGAATCAATATCTTGTGAGTAATAAATAGAAGCATTACTATCATATTTGAGGACATAGGGACAATCACAAGAAATGCACTAGCAAGTCTTCACCTAAAAAATATCCATTCTGTATTGCTGCACAGCTTAATAATTTTTCTTTTAATAAGAATTCCTGAAATTATTCATACATGAATTCACAATCAACCTGTTCACAGAGTAACTCATGAAACATCTAGGAGCCAGGCGGATCCTGCAAAACATTTTGGAGGGGGTCTTTAGAGAATTTATTTTATAATAAAAATTTGTTGTTATATTGTATATAATTTCTGTAGTGTATATATAATCTGACAATAATATTTTTCAAATAATTACATAATTTTAAGAAAAAAATATTTAAACAATTTTGCCAAAGAAAAAGAGGTAACAAATGGAAACTCTAGGACCTGTGGTCTGTGGCCCTTGATCCACCACTGACTAGGAGTAAATATCAACTGTCAATTTAGATGTAAAGAACATATTGACTGTGTGTTAAAAAAAAAACAACTAGATGAATCTGCTATTTGTTTTTGCTAGGCTGCTGAAATTAATGAATTAGAAATCCTTAGTGAAGAAACTTTCGAATCTACCCTTGAAACACAGTCAACTCAGACACCATCATCCATAGAAATAATCGAAATGGGCACTTAAGTCCGATCGACCGATCACAAAATTTGAAAAATGTTCAAAAAAATTCTCGAAAAAATGCGACCAAATAGCAGTCGATTCCTTTTACAACCGCCCAAAAATTCCATTTCAAAACTTATTGAACATTTGGATCAGAGGGCCTCCTTGTCCAAAGGCGTAAGTAGGACCTGAAGAACGACTACGTGCTTTTAAAATATTGTATCCAACTTTATAATAACTCGTATACGTCCGTAAGCAAGTAGCCTACTACTAAATACGTAGCATATCCACTCAAGTGTGTGGTAAGTCACGATCTGATGCAGTCTATTTTGATGATTGTTAGTGATTCCGCGCTCGTGAACTACAAACGTCATTCGTCCCGTAAGTGTAGTGCATGTTTTTGGGCGGGCGGTCTTCCCCGCTAAATGGCAAGATTCGACGTCGACCTGCCGTTGACTATCGGAGTTTTCCAGAAAGCAGGGTATCTCCCGCTAGAACACCACCCCAGCCGGGACAAGCTCCGGGCTCCCTACCGGTCTCCCGGCATGGGTGGTACTGTAGTGTATGTTGGTGTAAGTGGTGAGATTAGGCCAACGAAGGGGTCAGAAAGAACGCGCGCGGTTCGTGACTCGTTTGTTCGGGTACTGCTCCGGCATTCGCCTGGTATTGATAGGAGAAACTACCGACCAGAGTGGTCGGCCGCTAGAATTCTACCTAGCTGACAAGCAAGTGTGTAAAGTCAGGACTACCTTCCGGACAGAGGGACTGCAGTGACATCAGTTGAGCATCCCCGGGTCATCTCTCCCGGTGTCTATTTCGAGTACGTGCCGAACACATGAGCAGTTGACTAACAAGCAGGGGCTAGTGTCACATTTTCGTTTTATGGCAAAAAGACCTCGATCCTTCTACAATATACGCCGCAGGAGTTTGTAACATTTATTATGAGACATCTGAATTTGTGATTTTAGAAGGTATGGTAAAAGCATTAAAACCGACTTTAATTGCTCAGGATATCAGTTGATGCCATTGCAGTGCCTTTGACCGGGAAATCCTAGTCCCGAAGTTGACGGAAGGATTTTCGACACTAGCTATTTAGCTAGATCGAATTCAGTCGCTGTCTGGAGGAGAATTCTAGTGGCTAGATGATATGATCGGTATTTTTCTGTGGTTCCTCCGACCAATAATAGGCGATCAAAAACGTAGCGTATATATAATCATTTCTAGTTAGTGGATCAAATGATATAAACCGGTATTCATAGGAAGCATTTTTAGTTTAATTAATTGCATTATATATATTCACTTGCTAGCAAATTTAACAAAAATTTGTCTTACTTGAATTTAACCACACCTATGAACTGTGAAGCACCACCCTAGTACCGATGCAAATACGTTTTCTACAATTCAGAAACGAAATGATTTTTTTCTTCAGATATTGCTAATCATGCGATTTAAAAAAAATGTTAATTTATTTTTATTTATTTATGTTATACTTTTACTCATCTATCAACTATTTATAGTTAAAATGTCGGAAAGGGATTCTGGAAGTCAAGAAAACGTGCGCAGATAATCTTTTCCCCCCTACGTCACATACAGTTTTTACTCTTCTTTCACTGGATAAATTAAATCAGTATTAATTTATCATTAAATCTTTCTCGACTTCACCCCTTATTGATATCGATAGTGATTTCGAATGCCTTAACGTTCGAACACACTACTTCAGTGCATCTGCTCATGTGCAGATCGGTAGTGCTGTCGCTATGACGTGCGCATACTCCCAATACGTGAAGGGAGTGTCCTTGTTTAGTCAGGCTTGCTAAATCACCCACATGTAGTTACCCAGCTGTATTTAATCAGGTAGGTATTTGCCTAGGCAAAGTTGGCACACTTGCATGCATGGCAGACCTCCGATTCGGAGTCCACAATCGCACGTGACGTCTGGGATTCCCAGGCCTGCTGCCGAATTATGACTATCCGAATAGGGAGTATGGAAGGTTCTTGGGAGGGGATACATAATCGTCAATGAAAACTTAGAATCCTGTGTTGTGAGAGGCAACACCACTTGTCTGGAAGTCGAAAACACAG